TGCTCCGTCATGCCTTTCACTTGAGTCAAGTCGTTAGTGAGGTGAGCCACTTCTTATTTGAGCTTCTCATTCTCCATTGCGACCTCTTGTGTCATGTTTCTACAACAACTTTCTCAACACAAATTTAGTTGCACAAGGATGAGTCTAAACATAAATCATTACAAGAAGTAGAGGCATCCCTTTTAGGCATGTCAAAAATTGAACTATTCTTTTTAGGTGCCTCGGTGAGGGTTGTACCAACGGCTTCAAGATTAGCAACTTTATTAGTTAGCTCATCACAATGTTTGCACATGGTTTCCATTTTAGCAAGCAAACTTTTATAAGCATCTTGTGAGCAAGCTAACTTTTCTTTTAACTTTTTATTTTTCTTTACAAGTTGCTCAACATTGATTGTGCAATTATTTGTGTTTGCACTAGCCTCAAATTGCTCAATTTTAGTAGATATATCCATATTAAGATTGCCAAATATTTCATATTGTTCAAGCAAGGTAACATAAGCTTGTTGTGAGCTATCTAATTTTTTTTAATTTTTCAAGCTTCTTTTGTTGACTAGTGCAAACCTTAGCAAAGTTAAGATTTTCTTGCACAATATTATCATAAGAAGGTAGCTCATCATCACTATCACTATCATTGTCACTATCACTAGGGATAGGCTTTTTGTTACCTCGTGCCATAAGGCACACACATGAAGTGCTTGATGATGAATGCTTGTGCCCGCGCCTCTTGTGATGGTCATCTTCTTCCCTTGAATTATCCCATGACCTTATTGATGTGAGGGCTTTGTCCTTGCACGTCTTCTTCTTTGTCTTGGGTGTGGGTTTGTTTGGACAAATTTCCACAAAGTGCTCCAACTCGCCGCATCCATAGCATCATTTCTTTCTTTGCTCATTTCTTTGATTGGTGAAAAAAATCTTGAATTTGGATGGGCACACCCTTGACATTGAGCCTTTGGATCATCTTCTCCACCTTGTTGATAAGTTTGATTGATTCTTCATCAAGGTCGGAGGTGGAGGAGGAAGATTGATCATCATCACTTGATTCTTCATCATCCTCATCCTCATCCTCATCTTCTTCTTCATCCTCACTTGATGAGCTTGAGCTTGTATCCACTTGCTTGCCCTTCATCTTGTTTTTCTCACTACATGCGAGAGCTTTGCCTTTGTTTGATGAAGAGGCTTCATCTTGACCCATTTTGCGTGACATCTCAAATGCCACAATTTTGCCAATCACAATGGCCGGGGTCATGATGCTCAGTCCTCCAAGTTGTGGAGGATGGTGATGATGCTTGCATATTTCTTTTGGGGTAGCACGAAGATGATCTTTCTCACGATGTCCGCATCACCTAGCTTTGTCAATCCTATAGAATTGAGCTCATTGATAATTAGATTCAAACGAGAATACATATCACGAAAAAGTTCATCATCATTCATTTCAAAAGATTCATAACTTTGTTGAGATAGGTAATATTTTTGCTCACAGATATTACTTGTGCCGTCATGGAGCTCTTGTAATTTTAACCAAATTTTATGAGCCGTATTTAGAGTGGACACTTGATTAAACACATCCATGCTAAAAGATTTAAACAAGCAATTTTTAGCTCTAGCATTAAAATGAATTTCTTTTTCTTCACTCTTTGTTGGTTTATCAGAATTCTTAATGGGTTTCATCCCGTTATAAGTGACTCTCCAAACACCTAAGTCAAGTGCCTTAAGGTGACAAGCCATTCTAGCTTTGTAGTAGGGGAAGTTAGTGCCGTCAAAGTACGGAGGCCTAGAGGTATCTATCCCTATCACTCTTAGTAGCGTCGGCTCAACGGCGGTTAAGCCAAAAGTCTAAATTGAGCCAACCTGCTCTGATACCAATTGAAGGAACTTGTGACGTCTAAGAGGGGGGTGAATTAGACAACTTAAAAATTCTACTCTAAGGGCCTCTAATTTCACCTTAGCAAAACCTATGCAAGAAAGTGATCTATCTAAATGTGCATCTACGGTTTTGCTAATGTGTTGCTATCTCTACTGCAAAAGAGTTATGCAACATAGGTTTCAATCTTATCAACTAGCCTATCAACTAAGCTAGGAAAGTAAAGCACACAACCTAGGTAACAATGTAAATACGGAAGGTAAAGATAAGGTAGAGATGCAAACTCCCATCGATAACTCTGGTATTTTTATCAAGGTATCGAGAAGCGCTCGAGCTTTCTTCTAGTCCTCGCTGGAGCCCCTCGCAAGGAATTCCTCGCAGGGGCCAATCTCCCGGTCGGGTAACTCCGTGGATAGCCCCGGACCTTCCCCACGCGCAAGTGGGTCTCCGATGTGCCTTCGGCATGCCTCTCCCAGACCGCTCCCTGCCGTCTTCACTATCAAGTTTCTGGCCAAACCACCGCGGGCTTTGTTCCCTTCGGTACACGGTGGCGGCCACACCACAAACGCCGTTGGTGTGATCTCGCAAGACTACAAGCCCCTCCGATGTACAACAACGGTGCGCGCAAGCACCGAGTGATAAGAGGTGTGCAAACATCACTAAACACTAGGCTTAAACCTAGAGCAAGCGCATAAGCGGTGGTCTAATCAATCTAAGTACTTCGCAAAGCACCTACGCTAATCACCTAATGAATCACTAAGCAATATGCAAGTGGAGATCACTAAAATGGTGTATCAACACCCTTGATGTGTTTCCTCAAGTCTCCATACTTGTCTTGGCCAGTTGGGGTGGTATTTATAGCCTCCAAGGGAGAAGGTAGTCGTTGGGATCAATCGTAGCTTTTCTGACAACGACCGGATGCTGTCGTCATATTGACCGGACACGTCCGATCACTCACAACGGTCACCTGGCCTTCGGCGCGATCAACTGATCGGACGTTGAGCGCGTCCGGTCGCAACTTCGCCTCTCTAGAACCTCTCTGGACTCGATCGGACGCTTCTGTTCCCGCGTCCGGTCGATCTTCTGCCAGCGTCCGGTCTACACTATGTCGTTGTTGCAACGATGAACAGTGGACCTAACGCGTCTGGTCCTCGGCCGCCTCAGCGTCCGGTCACACGGACAGACGCATCTGCGCTAGGGTTTGCTACCCGGTCGCCTCTGAAACCTTCCTTGACTTGTTTCTTCGCGATCTTTGCGCCTGGCTTGGTTCCCATCTTCATGCTTGGACTTTGCTTGATATCTTGGATCTTCTCTTGTGCTACTTTAGGTATTTCTTGAGGTGTTGATCATTGGATCACCTCGTCGCCTTCGTTCAAGTCACGTCTTGCACCCTATTAAACTACAAAATAATTACTCGCAAATATGTTAGTCCAATTTGGTATTGTTGATCATCAAACACCAAAATCCAAAGTAAATGGGCCTAGGGTCCATTTTCCTTACAGACGTGTGGGCGCGACGGTTCTCGCGTCGTGAGGCGTGATGGGCGGCGGAGGGAGCAGTGGCATGGGCGGCGGAGCAGGATCAGGGGCAAGCGCGGTGACTGTCAATGGCAAACCAGAGCAGTGCAGGGGAGCAGGCGGGCGGCGTGGTGGAGGCGCCTGCCACGATCGATACGAGATGGGGAAATGACGCTATGTTTTTTTAGGAAAGGAACAAAAGTAGACGGCAGGAGGCTTGTTGGGCCGATTTGCAGACCCAGAAAGAAGCGTCTGGGCGAGAGGCGCGTCCGTTCGGACATCCTCTCCAGAGCATTTCCATTTTACAAATTACAGACTTTGAACTGGTCATGAGCGAGGGGGCCAAAGAGCAATGACGTCTGGTTTTGCAGTGCGTGATCATATGGCCGTTCCATATATGCCTCATCACTCCCCAGCCGGACTCGGTTTCACTAGTTCTACATGCGCTATTAGACGAGGTGCGCATATTCAGGTGCCAATGTGCCAGCACTTTATCATTTTGGTTGCAGTTATTAAAATATATGACAAAAAAATGCAACTATGGATTACGTGTCACCTAAAGTGGTTTACGTTTGATCAAGTTTCTAGTGAATAGTATTCACAGTTATGGCTTCAAATTAATTTGTTATAAAAATACATTTTCTAACTAATCTAATGATATTTATTTGGTATCATAAATATTGATATTATTTAGCTATAATTGGTCGAACTTAATAAGGTACTAAAACATGAATGCATTCTTTTGGGAACGGAGGCAGTACATCGGTTTTGATTACTGGCAGTTGTCACTTTGGTTGCAGCTAGTTTTGATGTTCCTCATCTGCCTGTATGCTGCATTTTTACTCAGTTTAAACAATCGTGATATGCCCCGTGGCCGCTGGCAAACCGCCGCGACGTGACTATCACACACAAGAGAGAATCGAGAAAGAGAGGCACAGCTTGAGGAGGAAGATGGTGTTCTTCTCCTCTAATACGAGTTCTCAGTAATAAATTGACTTTACAAACTCACACCCGGCATATAGAGCACTTGCTCATGCTTACAGGCGTTGTCCAATGAGCCACTTGAAACCTACACAATCACAACATGACACCGCCTCCGTTGCCATGTAAGCTCAGCTCCCCCTTGCTTGAGATGTTGCTTGCTCCCAAGCAACCGTGTAGGAAAACGTTTTGTAATGACGTACCAATGCAATCTTCCTAGGAAAACATGGTTATAACCGGCCTTCCCACATGGCCGCTTATAGCAAGAGTCCGAGATACTATTGAGAGGGAAGCATGATCTTGTTGCTGTTATGTCCTTGAGCACCTCATCAAGCTTTAAATTCTCACATTTCATTGCTTTGCTGCCACTAGGGATTTTTGAAAGTTTGTGCAGAAAGTAGAATCGTATTGCTTGTCCGAATCGCTCAGGATTTGGGCAAAGGTCATAACGTCACCTTCGATCCGGTTGATAAAAAACTGGATGTCAGCAACATATACATTGAAACCCAAGGCGGGCAGTTTACTCACTCCTCAAACCACTCCGAAGCCAAATAGTAGATCACAACACGAAGTGCATGACATGAGTTGCATATTGGCACACCAATGAAAAAACAAAGAGAGCTATATATATCGTAGCGGATATCATATCCGATACCGGATCAATGGATCCTTGAACTGAAGCTGCGGGTTATACACCCTCCACGCATAGTCCTCCAGTAGGAAAGAGTGAAACCTCCATCCATCCTCGTCGTCGGCTCCGGCACCATTTGCCTCGTCCTCGCGGCCTTCTCCAGCCGCATTGGAGAGCGGGACCAGGGGCGAGACGATGTTGTCCAAAGACAGAGTGATCAGGACCGTCAGCGACAGACGGTCAGTCTCGCCATGCTGCGTCTCCACGGGTGCGGCGGTTGTGGGGCGAGCCATCCCTCTCACTTTCTTCAACTTGGCATTGCTCCACACCTAGCACGCGAGCCAAAAGGAATCATGGCAACAAAAGATGAGTCCTGCCCTGCTGTCTGAAGAGTGAAGAACAGCTAATATGGTGTTTTTTTTTTGGTGTGTTTGAAAAGCAGAGATGTTTGACTCTGCTTTTTTGTGTGTGTATGTGTGCCTTGACGTGTTCCAAACTTGGCGATGATCAGTGAGTGAACCACACCAGCTGATGCTGACATGGGACCTGATTGCCTAACTGGTCAAAAATAAAAACTGAGTGGTGATGCTGAATTGCTGATGCGCAACCTACTTTAGAATTTGATGCCGCTGGCCGCTGCATAAACAAAACGGATGCTGACAATCTCTGCCGCTGGTTCCAGTACGTTCTGTTCCAGTGGCACTACCACCTCTAGCGTGTACTAGAGCACTAAATAAATGCCCTCTAAATTTTGACCAGATAAAGACGATACGGTGCTTATGTAATCTCTGCTTTGTTTATGGAAGATGCCATTGCAAATTTCAGTTTCTAATGTTCAAGAAATATCTAGAGATTTGCACTTATAATTAATTACCTGGGCAATGTCGCCGATGGCGACAAGGATCGCGCTGTCGCGGGCGCCCACTGCCGTCCACTCGCCGCCGTCGTTCATGACCCAGCTCAGCGGTGCCTCTTCCTGCCCGGACGCCTCCCACTGGCAGTGAAGCGCCACGACGTACGGGTACGCCTTCGCCTTCCCGACGGCCGGAGGTGCCGTATCGGCGGTGGAGACCCGGGATGCCCACAGCAGGCACCGCGGCTTCCTCCTCCCCTCCGCGAAGGGATCCTCCCGGAAACCCGTGTCGGGGCACCCTGAGAGAAGCGCCACGACCCGCATGCCCACGTCCCTCATCCGCCGCGCGTACTCCGCCGCAGCCGGGAGCGCGTCCATGTCCATGTCCCCCTCGCAGGCGTCGAACACCACGGCGGGATCGTCGGCGCCACCGTCCACATCCTGCACTCCCCCCTCCTCCTCCTCGGAGAAGCCGAGCGTGCGGAGATTCGACTCCAGGCGCGTGGACGCGTCGATTTGAGACAGCTCGGCGAGCGCGGAGGACGGTAGCTCGGAAGGGAGGCCGTGGCCGGCGAGGTGGAAGTAGCCCACGTCGGCGGCGTCGCGGAGCGCGCGCTGATCGGGGGACTCGAGCGAGACCAGAGGCGGAAGCGAGGGCGACGCCTGCGACCGAGCCGCGAGTGGAGACCGTAGCTGTGGCGCCGGCGACAAGAGGAGGCGGTGCAGGAAAGCAGAGAGCGAGGCGTCCGTGGTGCCCCCAGCGGCCGCGGACGACGGCGCCGCGTGGTGGTTCGACGGCGTTGGCGGAGGAGGGCCTGGGAGCGCGCTCCCTCCGGCGGTGGTCCTCGACGTGGCTGTGGCGGCCTCGGGGGACGAAGCGGCCATGGAGACGGCCGGAGCGGCGATCGCAGCGCAGGGGTGCTTTGGTGGGAAACGTGTACTGGCCACAGGGGTAGTTGGGCGCCGTTTGCTGTCCTGCGAAGGAGGCGGGCCTTTATCCGGGTCGTGTTGGTCTGGTTGTGTGGACCCACCTGCTGGCCCAGTGGTGGGCCACTTTTGCGAATTGCGGCGACCTGGACCGGTGAAGCTGGCAAGTGGGCCGGTGCACGGAGCACGGAGCACGGCTTACTGGCCCCCATTTCCAACAAGGCAACAGCTCCCGCCAAATCAGAATCCTGCTGCTCTGCTTCATTCTGCAATAGTTTTTTTTTTTTTTAGAAAAATCTGGAGGGGGCTTGTTGGCCCCTACACTTAAAGTAGGATTAACGCAAGCTTTGACACTGTTGAAGGATCTGAATAGACATGCGTGATGACATCTGATAAGTGAGAGGAATAACTGCATGAAAGCATCCGTTTGCGTGAACCGTCGAGACCTGACCTCAGTGATGACTTCAGATTTAAGCCGCCGTGCTGCGCCGGGAACCTCTAGTTGCATTTGCTGGCTCACGTTAATAAGGAAAATAATGAGAGGGTTAGCTGCTAAAAGCCTAAAACCATCATTTGTTAGTAGAGGAGCTCACAGAACCATTAGTTATCGGTATCGTTTTTGCTCCATGACTCTATCCATCAGCATTCGTGGATCGCTTGGTGGTGGTGGCATCCGTTGAACGGAGAGCGCACGAGGCCTGGAAATTTCGCTGCCTTCCATGTGCACGTACGGAGTACCTACGAGTTACGACACGGCACGCTTCTGTGGCGTTTTAGTTAAATTAATTAATTACTCTCTTATGGAGTTAGAACAGATGCATGGCACTCTCCGATGCCCAGTGATGACTTCAGATTTAAGCCGCCGTGCTGCGCCGGAACCTCTAGTCATTTGCTAATAATACAGAGAGGCTAGCTGCTAACGTAAGATTTTTTGTTAGTAGATAGCCTTATCGGTATCGTTTTTGCTCCATTTATCCATCAGCATTCGTGGATCTTGTATAACGGAGTTATTTCTTCACCATTTTAATTACGACACGGCACGCTTCTGTGGAGTTTTAGTTAAATTAATCTCTCTTATGGGAGTTTTTTTGGCACTCTCCGATGCCCACCAGAGTCAGGCTAATAATACTGGCGGCGGCGGGCTTTAAGGTTTTTTTTATAGCCTACTTATACAGTAGTTATGGTCTCTCTCTCTCTCTCTTTTTTTCTCTCTCCCGTCCAGAAACTTACAACCTTCTAAATCATCTCTCCTCTACCTCAACATTTAGCGCCGGTCTATCTTCTTCTTTCTCTCTCCACATCAAGATTTAAATAGCTTACAGCCCTGCTATCGATGGCGATACAGAGGCAGAGAAAGCCGATCAAGCATCTGAACATGCAACCCAAAAAAATTCAATCATAGGTCCGGAGGCTCGCCTTTGGTGTTTTTTTTTTTTTCCAGCATGCTTAGAATAAGGATACGTGTGCCTGGGCCATGTCAACTGAGTGCCTTGTCAAGTTGTCAGGGATCATGTTCAGTGATGTCGAGTGCTTTATTATTGGACAGAAGACAGTCCATGTGTGCCTATCGTGTAGGGCCTGTTTGATTCGCTTAGTAGCTACTAAATTTAATATCGTTTAGTTACTTTAATAACTTTTTAACCAAACGCTACATACAAAAAAAACTTTAGTCTCTAGAATATAGATACGTGTGCCTGGGCAACTTAGTGCCTTGTCAAGTTGTCAGGGATCATGTTCAGTGATGTCGAGTGCGCCTAAAGAAAACGGAAAAAAAATTGGGTATCTGAGTGTCCTTTGCGTGATTAGATGAGCGATTTTTCTCAGAATCGCGTAGCCGGTCGCGATCGTGACGGATTTCCGAGCTTCGAATCGAAAGCAATGGAAAAAAAACCGGTTACAGCTCCTGAAACATCCTCCAGGAAACAAGTTTGTCTGTAGATGTAGCGATCGGACGATGCGGAATTCCAGTTTGTCAAAAAAAAAAAATGCGTGTGTGGTTGGAGCTAGTAGACGTTGAGCATCTCAGTCGTCAGGATTTGTCATGCGAAAAGCGAGGGGTACCATCTAATCGGCTAATCATGTTCCAAATAACGTAGTATATTCTTTCTCGGAGTGTCGTATACGTACTCGGTCGGTAAAAATGAGACCGTGCGCTATGCAGTGTGCTTCTGCAGCCTCACCACACTCTCAAGTCTCTAGAGATGGTCGACGCTATGCATCGAACATCACTGCTAAATCCGTTCTAAATGATAGTTTGTTTGACTTTTTTAATTTAAGTTTGACACTTGTCTTATTCAAAATTTGTGCTAAATATCACTTTTTTTTATGCTGTGGCTTGCTTTATTAACAAAGGTTCTTCAAGAATGACTTAAATTTGATTATGTTTGTATAAATTTTTTGAATAAGACAAGCGGTTAAATTTGAGATCAAAAAATCAAACGAATTATAATTTAAAATAGAGGGAGTACATTAGAGAGACTGATTTTTTTTTTTTGAGAAATATCAGAGAGACTGATGCGGCTATAACTTGCGATTACTTTGGGCTGAAATTTCGTTAGGAAAAAGGAAGCCCAAGAAAAATCAGTAAGTTGTTAGCACCAAGGCCCAAAGATATTGGAGTTGGGGAGACACGCGAGAGTTAGTCCAAGACGAATTAAGTCTTAGACAGGGCTCATGACCAAGGCCTGCACGGCCCAAGCTCCGAGTCAGACATTCAGGCCGAGCAAGACTGATGGAACTCTGTTTCACTTGTCTGATCACGCGTATTTCCCCTTTTTCTCACCCAATATAGTATTCTTAGTATTTATAGGAGGAAACAAACGGAGCTTTCACATTAAATCTCAAGGTCTATAAATCACCACATTAATCAGAGGGGAAAAATCAAAATGTCCGTATCAATATATTGATAAATTAGCCACCACTATCATTATGCAAATAATTAACCCAAAATGTTACTCTCTCCGTTCTAAATTATAAGTCGTTTTGACTTTTTTTGTACATAGATTTTGCTATATATCTAGATATAATGTATGTCTAGATACATAGTAAAATAGATATACCAAAAAGTCAAAATGACTTATAATTTAAAACGAATGGAGTATCTATATATTCCCTCTGTCCTAAAATAAATAAATTTATAAAAAAATTCATATAGATTAAGGATGTTGGCAAAAGATACATGTGCCCTCATCTCCTTTCTTTTCTCAAAGAGTATCTTCTGGATTTGGCAGTTATCACTTGCACTAAGATTTTGTACGTGTTCCATATTTTTATATAATGTTATATTTTAGGATAAATTTTAAACCACCGAAAGTTATTTATTTTGGGTTGGAGTGAGTATTTTGTATCTATAAGTATCCATTATATATCTATATCTATCTATCAATCCATCCATCCATCCATCCATCTACTAATCAATGAAATTCTCACACTAGTCATAGAAGAACAAAACATCTAGCCATTAATTTTGGTGAGATTGAATTATAGCAGCTCGGATTTAACTAGAGAGGCCATATATTTGTTCCATGTCACATGTATAATTTAAAGCTAATCATTGTTCAAGAAAAAAAATTGCCGCATACGCTACTACACAAAACCACATTTATTAAAAAAAGTGTTAACATTTACAAAATCAAAGAGGTAAACTATGAAACCACATTTCATAAGATATCTAACGACACTAATTTTATTTTGTAAATATTATTATTGTTTCTAAAAAAACCTTTATCAAACTTGACTTAAACAGCTCAAGACCCCTTATATTTCATCAGCATGGAGCTGAGAGTAAATAAATACAAGCAGACATTATTGACATTTGCCAAATTCAATTTCTAGAAATTTATTGAGTTGCGCACATTCATTGCCACAAATTACATTAAACATATACGAACGTGTTTCTTGCCTTTAAAATAACATCTCAACAATTTTCATTTTTTACGCCAAAATATGAACCAGTAATAATTTAATAGCTCAAATTTTGAGTCATAAATAACCAAACCACATATGGGTCGACGGCTTGGTTGTTGACTTGTATGGGAAATTGGGGATCACATCCTCACAGGAAAAGTGGTGCTAAAAGCGGCAAACCAGATGCATCGGTGAGCACAGTGAAGGACAGGAAAATTGGCAGGCACGCACGGTTGTTGCCCCAGCTTCGAATGCTTCATGACCTTGATGTTTGATATGATCCATGCACGCATATCGCATGGGCATGACCGTGACCACGGACCAGAACTTCACGGGCACCCAAAGTACCAAACCGCGCATGACGTCATGAGGCTGAACCTGAAGCCAGCACCAACTGGCAGCTGCGTACCAACGGGACCAGACCAATCGCAATCCTGCTGTAGTGCTGCTGCTACCCGCAAACCTATGCAGGGCCTCAAAATGTTACGCAGGCAGCCATTGGTACTAACTAGACCAAAAGATTCGTCTCGTTTACAATCACAAACCGCAGAATTAGTTATTTTTTTATCTACATTTAATACTCCATAAATATGTCCAAAGATTTGATGTGACAGAGAGAAAGTGAAAAAACTTGAAATCTAGGCCCAGTTAGCCCAAGTGTCTGCTGAAACCTATGCGAGGGCCGAGGAGCAGGGAGTCGACCGACGGCTGAAACCTATGCGACGGCCAAAATGTCTGCTGAAACCTATGCGAGGGCCGAGAAACCGTCTATTCTTGCATTTTTCTGGCAGATGATGAAGGCTAATCATGGACATGCTTCGTGCATCCAGGTCCAGCCCCGTGGGCCGTGGTCCAGGGCTGCTTGCCGCCCGCATGGCGGCGGAGGCGGCCGCGTGCCCGCGTCGCCTGCCGAAGCAGGACGCGCGAACCGAGTTGTTTTTGTCCACGAGACCACGATCAGGCTTCACCCCGGGATAAGCGCAGGTAGCCAGTTCCTGTTGCGTCCGTCAACAGCTGGTCCATCGTCGTGACGGTGCGCTCGTGATTTGCCG